CGGCCAAACTTGCATTGGTTCCTGTGATAAAACACCCCTAGGGCCCTCGATGGGCCAAAAAATTCCAGAAAACTGAGACCTACTGGCGGCGAAGCATTTAGGTGCGGCGGCTCCTCCGGCCCGAGTTGCGATTTAATATTTTGTTCCGATCAACTTGTAGAAAAAAAGACGGTGGTCACAGTGGTATAAGAATTACATCGAAGGCTGCTAAGAACTGCTCTCAAGTGACTGGCATAGGCAGGGTTGTCTGCTTGAGCTCCCACCAACGATCTACTTCCCCCCACTAGCATGTAGGAAGCAAGAGTAACCCTCTGTTCAGGAACTACTCCTAAGGTCTTGAAAGCCTTCTCTGTTTCTGCCAACCAGTACTTAGCATCTTCGAAAGAAGACTCCCCTGCAAAAGTGGAAATGTTTAGTCTCTTGTACGTCTCTACGTAGCTCGAGTCAATTAGGGAAGGAGCTGGGTCCCGTGGAAGAGAGACTCGGCCGGGCTGAGGATAGACAAGGGGGCCCTGTGGTAGCACCTGCTAATATAATGGGGGCACCGGATCATACTGTGGCGATGCCGGGCAATACGGTGGCTGATGCACCGGATTATACTGCGGCAGTGGTGCCGGGTGGTATTGTGGAGGAGCAGGCTCTTGTCGAGGTAGCTCGGGATCCGCTCACTACAGTGGTGGCTCAAACTGTGGTGTGGGGGAGGGTCGGGTAATTCCCTTCTCTCCTCTCGACCTTGTTGAGTAGCAATGATCCTTTCGATCATCTCAAATATTCTATCAACATCTTCCCGAAGCAAATCATCCCGGGCTGCTCGGTTTAGTGGGGGTCTCCCTCTCCTCATATCTCTGTACCTGCATTATACAAGGAAGGGTTGAGTAATAATTCTCAGTTTGGTATTCCTCTAAGTATTATTGTGTAAGGGACAAGTCCGAGGAACGCGGCTCTGATACCAACTGTAACGACCCCGGAAATTAAAAAGAAATGTATAAATTTATTATAAGTGCGGAAGCGAAATAAAATAGATTATGATTAACATCCCTTACACAATAACCAAAACGAATTAAACCTATGAAAGAATAAACTAACTAAAGGAAATACTATAAATGAATACTATAAGGAAAACTAATAAATTCTTATGCTTCTACTCGCCGTCTTCCTGCAGAACAGGCTCGGGAACCAAGTCCTCCTGATCTGAAATGGTTAAGTAAGGAATGAGCTACACTAGCCCAGTAAAGACATCACACTATCTCACTGTCACAAAAGTAAAGGTTGGTAGAAAACAAAAACGACCAATGGAGCATAATTTATAACAAACTCATTTATCAATAATAAAAACTTTTACTGTCCACTTACCTCAGTGAGATTCATGAAAGCAACTTATAAGAAACAATAACATTTGAACATCATAAGATCATGCACACTCTGTAACATAACACATATCATACTTTTGTATTTCAATCATCAGACAACAAATTTCCTCTTTTATCAGCCTACTTGTATCCATTGGGATCCATAGGGGGTCCCCGCTATACCTCTGAACCATTCACATTAATAACTTAATTCCAGGGCCGTCCCCATACCCCGTCTGGTATGGGCGCCAAAACCATAAACCTCAATACCCCGTTCGGTATGAGGGTGAAACGGGCCGTCCCCATACCCCATCCGGTATGGGCGCCAAAATATATTAAGTCTCCATACCCCGTTCGATATGAGAGACCACGTTCCCGGTAGGGTTTCTTATGGACTCGGTCCATCCACCATCTCTCAGGATATCTAGTCAGGCTGTCAACATTATCCATTTATCAATTCACATACCTTTTTTTATTTTTTTTCTTAATCTCAATTATCCAATCAAACATAAATACGTAAACCACTAATGGATATCAAACAAGGCAGTACAACATCGGGTTCACAATAATTCAAACCATAATAAATAAAACTGTGATTCATGCATACGAAACTATAGAATAAACACATCGGGCACCATACTGCATTTAAAACTGTAAAATATATCAAACAACAACTTATCGAAAAACACATCATATTCGGGCTCCATTAGCAATCTTAATTAATTATACATATCTATTAATTCATAAATACCGTTTTATCATTTATTAAGCTTTAATACCGTAATAGAAAATATGGTGAAAGATCCTTACTTGTTTCGGAGTCTGAAATTGGGTTCTCACTGCACCTACGGGCAGTCCTTAGATTTCTTAATTTTTTTTTCTAGAAACTGAAACACACTTCCGGTACCTGCACATGTCCCCAAAAAATCTCAAATCAGACCCAGAGCCCTTTTGGCGATCCGCCTCGAGTTGGCCGTTTTCGGCCGAATTCAGCCAAAACACCCCTAGGGCCCTCGATGGGCCAAAAAATTTTAGAAAACCGAGACTTACCGGCGGCGAAGCTCTCGGGTGCGGCGGCTCTTCCGGCACAAGCTGCGATTTGGTGTTTTGCTCCGGTTAACCTGTAGAGAAAAGGACGGTGGTCACAGTGGTATAAAAATTACATCGAACGGGAACCGGGAATGACCTCATCGGAGGCAAAAACTGAGAAAACCTGCGGTGGTGCCGCTGGACTGTGACGGTATTTTTCGGCCAATTGGCCAGTAGTTTAGCTCCGATTTTACCACAGGGAGGTTCAGCATCGAAAAACGAGCCAATGAGAGAAATTTTACCTCGTTTAGCTGTCAGAAAATCCTTCAGTGCGGTGGCAGGTGGCGGCGACCAGTTCCTCCGGTGGCTGGGTCGTCTTCTCCGGCGAGGGTTCTGACTGCTAGGGTTTGGGGTTAGGTGTGGATGCGATTATTTATAACATTCCCTTTTTAATCTAAGCTGTCCATCATGATTTATCTGGGCTATCCGATCGCGATTAAATTGAAAATAAATCTGGGCCGTCCGTGCGCGCAGGAACGTATCTGAGCCGTCCGATCTTGCGCACGCAGATCACCCACGTGTCTCCGTCTCGCGTGGCTTCTCGCGTCAGCGTCCCTGCCACGCGGGGTCTCCTGGTTGGTCGGGGCTGCTGATGCGGCTGCTGACGTGGCGCTATTTTTTAAAATTGCGTTTTGATCACTGATTTTCAATTTTTTTAAAAAAAATATCCCCATAATCCAAAATTTCACCTATTTTTTTCAAAATCAATTTCAATTAAATTTTAAAAATAATTTTACCCTATTTTATTATTATTATTATTTTTATTTTTATTAAATTAAATTAAAACATTATAAATTAATTATTAAAATTAAACAAAATTTCAATAAAATTAAAATAAAATAAAATAAAAATTTTGGGTGTTACATACAGCTAGAGCAGATGTAGAAAAAAGAAAGCAGTATTTTTATTCAGCAAAGCAGTGCTTTTTTATAGGCAATTACATGACCATAAAATACTAAAAAAAATAACAATTCCATGACTAACAGACTCTTACTTTGACTCAACTACTTAGAAAATCATATGGCTTGAAAAATAGGACAAATCAAAACATAATACAATAAAAAGTAGTTAATAAAGTAAAAATATATAACAGTTAAAACAACATCCCTTGCAGTAGTACGATTGACAAATAAACAATTTTACAATCAACGATTTACGACCAAAAAAAAAATTTGTTCTGCCATGCCGAATTATGTGAGAATATTGAACTGAAAATAAAAAGAAATTGACAAAAATTTGAGATTAATCAAACAAAATGAATTCCTGAAGTAAAGTAGAAAAGTAATTTATATTTTTCAACAATAGTTATTTATATACATAATTAATTTAGGACTATTTATAAATGTAGCCCCAAATTTCTAGTATTTACAAATAAATTCCCAACTATTATTCTAGTAATTTCATCAGATTGTTGATTGCTTTGTAAAGCCTCTTACTTCTTCTCCATTCAAGGCTGTTATACTCAAGTTGGGTATTCAAAATTTGTACTTCAACTTAAGAGGGGGCTATTGAAATATACATAGTATTTCTATAGGCAATTTTTATAATTCTTTATATTTGTTGGGCATTCATGTAATTAGTTAAATATGCTGGGTCATTTATGTAAATAACATAAATTTACCGTGTATAAATACCTCATTTTTCCACAATAAGGTAAGATAATCATTTTCTCAAATTCACAATCTCTCTAGAACCTACATTTTTTTTTTTTTTTAATCAACAGATTGTAAATGAAAATAATTCTATCACAATTCTGATGCCTCTTAAAAATGATGAATGGATGAATATTAATAAGAGTGAAGCTCGAAAATACTATTAAACTAAAACACTAATAACACCATGCCATGATCTCCAAATAACTTATTCGTTAAAAATTTTAATATTAATTACATATTAAAATTCAACATTAAAAAATATCTTTAAACTGAATTAAAATACCTTTTAAAAATGATAAATGAACGAATTTTATTAAAAATAATATTCAAAAATAACTTATTAGTTAAAAATTTTAAACATATTAATATTATTTCAATCTGTTAAACTTTTTAGGAAATTTTAATAACTCATATTACACAATTATAATTTAATAACTCATATATTATTGCAAATAGAACCTCTTGAAATTCTTAAATGGTATACTTTGATAGCTCATGGATTAGCAAATAAAACTCCTTGAAACCCATATCTCAGTTTACTGTGCAAAGACGTGTGATTCCCCTAGACTTCTGGTTCGTCTTTTGATGTATTCTTCCTTAGTTAAATGAATTTTTTTTTTAACTCTCTCACACAGATAGTTTCTCTCATCCGCAACAATTGTAATTAATTAAACTCGACTGCAAATTTTATATAAAACAAGCTTTAACATACCTCAATTGTTAATTCCCTTTTAAATTATATACAAAACAAAAGTAAAAGGGGCACTAAAGAAAACAATTCAGACATATAAACTAAGTTACCAAACACATACTAATTTTAATAGTAATACTCTCATATCGTAAAAACACACTGCACCTGCCTACTTTTAAGCTAATATTGTATAAATTTGAATTTGGTTTAAGAAGTTTAAGAGTTGTGAAGAGGAAAGGACATGTAGTTGGTGACAGCCTTGGATCCCTCAGCAGTTGCATGCTTGCTAAGCTCCCCAGGCAAAACCAGTCTCACCGCTCCTTGAATTTCCTTGGAAGACAGCGTCGCTTTATGACTATATCTCGACAGATTGGCTGCCTCGTCGGCTAATCTCTCAAACATATCGTTCATGAATCCATTGATTATCACCATTGCTTTTGATGATATAGCTAGCTCTGGATGTACTTGCTTCAACACTTTAAATACATACCTCTTGTATCCTTTATAATTACCTTCATCACTTCCTTTCTTCTTCTTCCTCCTCCTCCTTGGTCTCCCTCTTCTTGATGGTCTCTTTTCAACTTTCTCTTCTTTCGTTGTTCCAGCTGGTTCACTACTAGTTATCCCTTCTTGGGTCTGATCTGTTTCTTCTTCCTTTTCTTGTTCCTGCTCATTATCTGCTGCTACTTCCTCAGAAGTGGTAACGGGTTCTTGATCATCAATGGTCTCCTGCTCCTTCTCCGGTGTTTTTACTGGAATGGTTTTTAAACTTGGTGTTTCTTCGACAGGAATCCGAACTGTTTTACGTGATTTTTCTTCGACGGGGATGACTTTGACTGGTGATTTCTGTACAGCGACGTCAGTTATCTCCTGTTCTCGTCCGGAGGATGGAACAACCGAGACTTCCACTTTCTCTATGATTTTCTGGGTGGTTTTCAAAGCCAAAAGCCTCGTTGAACGCTTTGGCGCCATTGATGAATCTGGACTGGATAAGAGAGGTATGAAACGAGCAAGTTCGAGATTAAATTTTGTTACAGGAGATATCCCATTAGTCACTGTGTGGATTAAGTGAAAGAAGGACGCGTGGATTACACATGTCGGGTGACTCTACTGAAGGGAATGCTACGTGGAGTTAAAAAAGTGAAAATGGCAAAGGGAAGTTTCCAGTTCTCATAGTTAAGTTTTGAATTCATTCGGGTTCTCTGGTATGCTCTTCTTCTTTTTTTTTTGTTTTTTTTTTCAGTTTTGTCGTTTTCTAGATCTTTGATAATAAAATCATCGACGTATATACTGATTAAATATATGATAACATTTTCTTTTTAATCTTTTTCTCGGTGAACTTTTATATAATTATATATATATATATATATATATATGAATATCGGTGCATCTCTTGTTACATTTTGAGTTATGTACTAAATTTGTCACCCGGCCTAATATTAAGATTTTATATATCTGATAAATTTTCTTAATTTTCTAATTCTTGTTAAAAGTTTATTCTAACATTTTTGATGTAAAACACTCTCTAATGTAATTTTCACTCTCTTTAATGTCTGAAAAAGTTCGACTTCCACTTACTTCTCAAATTCTTCTTCCTCCTCGGTTGCCTCCTGAAATGACGACGTTTTGGGAGGCAGTTTAAGGAGGTTCCTCAAAACGCCAACGTTTTGGGGAATATCCTTTAGAGTACAGGTGGGCCGAGGAAGGGGAAAAGAAGGAGAAGAAAAGAAGAAAGGAAACAGAGAAGGGTGAGGAGGGAGAAAAAGGAAATAACAAGAAATAAAAACAAAATAAATTAAATTAAAAAATATTTATATATTTTATAAATACTCATATATGTATTACATACAAATTTATAAAAGAAAATATTTATAGGTTTGGTTAAGTTCACTTGAAGTCAAACTCTTGGATTTGAACTCCCAAGTTGAAATAAAAATATTTCAAAACCCCTCGTTAATTATTATTATTATTATTATTAATAATATAGAAGAAAAAGACGTGGATTATTTGTTGTCTTTTTTATAACGTTGTTATATATTTATGGAAAGTGATTAGAAGACATGATTTGTTTTAATTTGTGGAGATTTACTAAAGAGAGGAAGCTGCCCAACCCAATTATGATCCAACGCTCCAAAACACACTTCAACCTAACATACCCTAAATCTTAGCCATTGCATCACCCACACCTCTGATTATATTTCATCTTACATATAAATTTATACTAAAAAACCCCTTTTATATTAATATGTTTATTGTAATGCTGCTTCTTTAATCCTCTCTCTCTCTCTCTCTCTCATTTGTGGAGCCTCCATTACTGTTCCTATCATCAATGTCGACGGTAATTACAGTACATGATCAGTTCTAGTCTCTCTTCTCTATTTTATTTCATTTATCTCGTGAGATATGCATTAATAAATAAGATTGTTGATACTATATAATTTTTATGGTTGACCGAGTTAATTTGAGATTTTCTCGGTGTCCAAACAGGAAGAAATGCTGGCACCACCTTGGCTAGAATCACTCTTATCTGCTTCCTTCTTCACCGTCTGCCCTACGCACTCTGATACACCCAGAAGCGAGTGCAACATGTTCTGTCTTGATTGTAACAAGGATGCATTTTGCATCTATTGCCGATCTTCCAGACACCAAGATCATTCTGTTATCCAAGTGATTATTCTCTCTCTCTCTCTCTCTCTCTCTCTCTCTCTCTCTCTCTATCAATCTCTTTATCAGATAATCGTGGGTGATGATGATCTGATTTTTTTTTCTGGGGTATGCAGATCAGACGCTCGTCGTACCATGATGTGGTTAGGGTTTCTGAGATTCAAAAGGTGTTGGATATAAGTGGAGTGCAAACTTACGTAATAAACAGTGCTAGAGTTCTTTTCTTGAATGAGAGGCCACAACTCAAGGCTCCAACTGGTAAAGCTGTCTCTCATTTATGTAAAATATGTGGAAGAAGTCTCTTAGATCCCTACCGTTTTTGTTCTTTGGGATGCAAGGTCAGTATTCGATGAAAATATTGATTTAGTATGTTTTCTTTACTCATGATTTGTAATCAGGTTGAGTATTATACATAAGCCAGTTAAGTTAGTAGTGAATTTTGATTGATCAGCTTGAAGGAGTTAAAAGAAATGGGGATGCGAGTCTAATAATCTCGAGTTCGAAGATCGAGCAAGAGACAAGGGGAGGAAGATTAGAATTTGGAATGTCGAGGAGTAGTTTCCCATCGAAAGTAAAGAAAGAAGAAGAAGAAGAAGAAGAAGAAGAAGAAGAAGGAGGATCATATGAAGGAAGCCAAAGAGAAATTGTCCAAGACACCCCTCCTTCTCCTCCTCGCCATACGAATTCGAGGAGAAGAAAAGGAATTCCTCAAAGAGCACCTCTGGGGTCCTAATCAATTCATTTAAATTTGATTGAAGATAAAAACTTTGGCTCAAAAGTTTTGTCCCGTCTCTCCAACTCATTCCTTGCAAGCTACCCACATGGAGAGGTATTTGGAAAAACATAAAGTCCAGATTTTAATTAGGAGTGTGTCAAAACGATTAGGTGTAAGTTAAGTTACTTTTCAGATTTGCCTGACTTATAGCACTAATATTGCTGCTTTAATGCTTAACTTCATGTGCTATATCTAGGTGTAAATGTTTATATATATATATATATATATATATATATATATACACAAATTCTATGTATACAGTACGCCAACAATTCTTTTTATATATATACATATAAAGCAAACAACAGCTCACCTTCGGTTAATTCATAATATTAGATAATATTATTATTTCATTACTTTGAATAAACATAGAAAATCTTATAAATACATATATATATATATATATGTAGAATTTTCTATGAAAATATAATCTCACTCCAGGAAATTACAAGCTTATTTCTTTTATAAACAATAGTAAGAATTTACTTCCGTTACAAAATCTTGGGTTCCCTTTTTTTTAACAAACTTGAGCAAATACACACAGTAAACATTTTGGATACGTGTATATATATATATATATATATATATATATATATATGCACAACTTAACAGACATTTATAGCAAAAATTATTGCTCTGCTTCATAATCTTGATAACTACCTATATGTAATTAATTCATATATTCATCCCATTGATGCATGCATCCATATTAATTCCTTCAAATCCTTTTTTTTATGCTTTATCTCCAACTATATTTTCATGTTAAGAAACTTGGTATGTAAATAATGTCTAATATATGCTTACAGATATGCAATTCCCATTTTATCCATCGAATATTAATTTAAAATCGGTCTAAACTATACCAAAATCAGATGAAAGAAATTTTTTATTCTCGATACTGAACTAAAAATTTTCATTCGGTGCAATTTGGAACGAAGTGGATCAGCATTGACCCAAAAATTTTAATTTTTAACATATTATTATTTATGTATTTTAATTTTTAACGTTAAAAAGTATATATTACTTATGCATTTAATTTTCATATATTGTATATAATATAATATATATTATTTATATATTTAATATTAAGAACATAACAAATATTACCCTAACAGATCTAATCCAGACCGAACTGGCTAGTCTAGTTTTCCAATTTAGAAAGGATAATGCTCACTTCTTTGTACATGCATCAAGTTAATTAGGTCAACTAAGTAAAAATGCATAATTTATTTTTAAGCAAATTTAAGTTTGATACCTCGTAGTTTGAGATTTTTTAATTTAAAATTTTGTAGTTTTTCCTTTCACAATTTATGATTTCGTGGTTTCATTTTTTTTTTTTTTTGTTCAAACTATTAAATTAATCCCTCTAAGAAGTGAGTTATTTATTTTTATTTTTTACTTTTCTAATATTATAAGATAGTGAATTTCATTAACTTTTGAAATATAATGTAGTGAGTTGCTAAAAGACAGAAAAAAATTTGAATTGAAAAATCACAAATCACAAACGATCAAATTGAAATTTACGCTTTATTATTATTATTTTTTCCGCAACTGATGGATCCGATTATCACAGTTGCAAATTTTAAAAATAAAGTTAGAGTATAGTAAATTGATGTAACAGACTAAGGTGTCATTAATATTATTTTTTTAAAAAATTAATATTAACAAAATTTAAAATAATGTTTAATCTATTTATGAAAAGTATTGTCATATTTAAAAGTTAGGCACATACATTAATTTTTAACTCTGAAATTAAGTGAGTTTAGCAATTATATTCTAACTATATATTATGTGTTTACACGTATGTATCTAAACCATTTATTTCGTATATACCAATTGCATTGGACATAGTCGAATAAGAATGTTACATATTAGGCATATAATTAATTGTTGTTGGATGCGTGTGATATTTTATGTAACTTATACACCTACATGCAATTAGTAGTACTTGGTTTGGTTTCTCAAGGGAGCTGTTAGCTTCTCAAGATGAACCAATCTTTCCCATGTGATAATTATATCTTATACATTTTAGTAATGAATACTTTTGTGACGATTTAAATATAAATCTTACTTTTATAACGATTTTTATTCGGTATAATCTCACTCGTAGATATAATTAATTTTTTATTATTAGTGCATACTAATATTTTTCTTTGCGAAGTGTCGACGTAAAACTCATGTCATATTTTAATTGAACTAATACCGTTCTAATTTGTACCAGTTATATGGTTAATTTTTTTTTTCTTTTCTTTTATACATTTTTAGTTCAGATAAAATAGTAGCACATAATTTCTAAATATTTATTAATCTTTTAAAAATTATATTATGAGCACAATACAATGTACCAATCTAGTTAATTTAATACGAAGGTTATTTCAATTAAAATATCAGCACACAGTTGGTAAAACATGGGAAATTTTAACAATAGCATAAAAAATAATTTAATATAAATTTTGTAACAAATGTTGTTTTCTGGTTCAAATGTATTATATTATGGTCTAATTCCTATGTGTTAACTCTTTAATAGAGAAAATTTAGTCATAATTTAAAACTTTGATGTATAATTCAATTCATATACTAAATTCAACACTTGAACCATTACCAGGTTTGCTTGGAACAATTCCAAAATTTTACTTTCCTTGATTTTATTCTGATTTAATCTTAAATTTTAATTATGTACTACATAAAAAATTAATTGTAAGTTAAATATTTGAATTAATATATTCGATTTGATAAATCATTCATTTGTATTTCCATTATCAAAACCCTAAAATACTGAACAAAATTCAACTTCATTATCCTCCATCAATTATTAGCCAAAAATAATTGTAGAGGAAGCAAGAATAAGAAACAAAAATCACATTTCTTGTCATTGTCGATACCAAGACATTAGCATAAACCAAAGAATTTATAAACCACAACTACCATTAAAACAAATCACAACTTTCTCTCTCTTTTTTTTTTTTTTTTTTTTTTTGCAAAGAAAAAAAAAAGAATTCAGAAAAGAGGTTGTTTGGTTGTGAGAAAGAGCTGCTTTTTACTTGCCCTCCGGAATAACAAGAAGCAAAACTCAGCCGTTTCGCTGTTTGCATCTTATCATCAACAGTTCGCCCTCTCTCTCTCTCTCTCTCTCTCTCTCTCACTCACTAGGGATGGCTTCAGGTGAGATCATCTGCAAAATTAGATTGGTCGATGGTGGAACCTGCCCAAATTTTTCCACTACCCACTCCTCACTTCTATTTTTATATTTCGACGGAAAAAAAAAAGAGAGAAAAAGAAAAAGTGG